GCACTTGTCGAGATTCGCTTTGTACTTGGCTAGTCGCAAACGATTCAGAACAACGCGAAAGTGTACGATGTGCTCGTCCAACGTCCTACTATAAACCAAGATGTCATCAAGGTAGATGAGGACGCTGCGATCGAGCAAGTCGCGAAACTCAGTCGTCATCGCTGCTTGAAAAGTTGCGGGGGCATTGGTGAGGCCAAAGGGCATGACAACCCACTCAAAATGCCCGTACCGCGTCTTGAACGCGGTCTTGTACCGGTCTTGAGGCTGGATTTCAATCTGGTGGTAACCTGACTTCAAGTCCAACTTCGAGAAGTACGTCGCGCCGCCTAACCGCTCAAGGAGATCATCAATCCGAGGGAGAGGGCCGGCGTTCTTTACAGTTTGTGCGTTAAGTTTTCGATAGTCGATGCATAACCGTAAATCTTTGTTCTTCTTCCGAACGAAGAAAACAGGTGCACCGTATGGCAAACAACTAGGGCGAATCCAGCCCTTGTCGAGAAGATCATCGAGCTGTGCGCGAAGCACCTCGAGTTCCTCTTCGCTTATGCGGTAGATACATCCGCGCGGAGGGACGGCACCAGCCTCGAGAGTGATCCCGTGACGTATGGGCCGATCCGGAACCGTTCCGATGGGAGCCTTGAAGACGTCTCTATACTCGTCCAAGAGGTGAGAAATGCGTGGGTCCGGCGGTGACGCGGCTGGTCCGTCCGGCAAGGGGAGAGCATGCAAGAATACAAGGCCCATCTCCCCGACGTCATTCCGAGCAATGGCGTCGCGAATTTTCGCAACGGAAACCACGTGACAAGCAATCGAAGTGTGAGGGGTCGCGACCGTACATGGGACTAACACTCCGTTCCGATCACGGATGTGAACGGTTCGGTCATGGAAGTTCACCGGATGATCGGCGCTACGCAGCCAAGACATGCTTAGAATCATGTCGAACTTGGTGTCGAGGATGTCAAAAGACACCGGCTCGCACGCAAGTGGCGCAAAGTAGATCGGAACGCCGTCAACGCGTCAGTCAATTGACTTTTGCGTGCGGCCGTCCGCGAGTGTAACTTGCGTAGGTTGCGTCTTCCTTCGAACGTGCGGGCCAAGACCTGCGTGGGCCATAAATGCTTGGCTCATAAAGTTGCGAGACGCTCCGCAATCAATCAAGGCACTACAGGTTGCCTTTCCGATTTGAATGCGGATATAGAGCAAAGGTGCGTCGGTTTCGGCGTACCTTTGGGTGGCGTACTCGCGGTCAATCTTCGCAAGATAGGAGCGGAGATCGACAACCGCTACCCCGTCGTCCGTCAACGGAGCTGGTACTGCAGTGTGCAAATAAGAGCGTAGAGTTGCCATCAAGGCGTTGCAATGCGGCCTTGGCAAGGTTCCGGTCGGGGGTAGAGACATCCAAGCGAAGTCCTCTCTCGTGAGCGGGTCAAGCTCCTCAAGTCTTGACCACGCCGTCGAGTCCTCGAAAATCAGTGGCGAACTGACCGGATCACTTGCCGACGGTGTACAGGCTGCGCATACGCTAGCTAAGTGCACGTGGCTTGGCTGGTCTAATGGTGGTACCAGYTGGGCGGCATAATCCTCGTACATGGCACGAGAATCAGCGACTAACGCATGCTCCTCGGTAGTGACATCGATTGCTAGCAAGGTAACCGGGTCCGGCGGAGTGAGGAGAGACGTCGCCCCTCTCCTTGCGTAACTCAGTTTCCCGAGTTTGTTGGACGGGGTACGCGTGCCTTGCCCTTTTCGGGGCATTGTGCGGTCAAATGAGTGACGCCGTTGCACCAAAGGCAGTATCCGTACTTTTTACGAAGGTCATAGACATCCTTGGTTTATCTTGTAACTCGTCCATGGCTGTTGCCCAGTTCCCGTCGATGCTGTCTCTTGTGTCGCCTTGTTCTTCCGAACTCTCTTGGGACGCTTCGGCGGGAGTGTTGCTACAATTCCTCCGTCACTCGAGGATGCTGCTGCAGCGTGGAGATCGTCTGTTTCTTCATAAATCACGGCATTGTTATGTGCCGGACGTTGATAGCCCTGCTTAGCCACATAATGCGGYTGGGACTGCCGTTCRTTTGCGGCMTTGTCATCCGTTTGGATGACTAAGTTCGCACGATCCAGAATGGCCTGGAACGTGTCATAGTCGTACTCGTTGTCGAGTGCCGACCGCAGTCCCGCGCACGATCGCGAGAAGAAATCGGATCGTTGATTTGGAAAACTTAAATCGAATCCTGGTGTGGTCACTATCTTCTGCCACTTGGTTGTCCAGTCTCGAGTTGGCATATTTCCTTGAGAGCAGGTGTACACCTCGTTCATGGCCGCCTTCACGACGTTGCGGACCATGAACCGGGTGAACCATAGCTTCTCGAACTCTTTTCACGTGATGTGCGTGTGGAGTTCGGCGATGTTGCATTTGTTGGTAACCGCCAGATTGTTCATCCAAGCCTGCGCTCCTCCAATTAGTTGCAAGTAGAGTGCCTTCATCATGTCGTCTGCCGGGACAATGCGGCATGATGCTTCCGTGAGGAAACGTTGCCACCATGTCAAGGCGTCCGACTTGTTGTAGTCGTTGAACTTGCTGATGTCGAAATGCGGCATCTTGTAAGTCTTTGTAGCGGCGTCCGGTCTCGTCTGCAGCTTGGTGACGTCCGTCTTGATGGCGGCCACCGTGCTACTGATCGTGTCCGGCCCATTGAAAACACCTATGTCGCCGATGATGGTGACGACGTAATCGATGCGCTCATTGAGTTTCTTCGTCTCGTCTGTCATACAGCCTGGCGCTGCTGAGGCGTTAGCCTCAATGCTGTTGATGCGTGCGAGAGCGGAGTTCAACAGTTGATGTTGTTGCTGCTGTTGCGTTGCTTCGGCGCGGATGGCAGTTGTTAAAACAGCAATGTCTTGCTGGTACTTTTGTCGCTGCTGTCGTTCCGTGCGCAGATGTGCCTGCAACAGTGTGTTATTCCACATGATGTCTCTCATCATGTCCAGCATCAAGTTAGCCAGGTGAGTCCTCTCTGCCTCCGCCGGTGTCGGATCTGCCTACGCGTCCGAAGGCACAAAGATCATGCCTTGGAGGAACGTTGTCCACTGACTTTCACTATGAATCAGGGACTCCGTACTGGCGGCATTCCGTTGGTATCGTGCCGCTGCGTCAGCCTCAGCGGTCTGCTAAGCTTGGGCTACCGCCTCATTGGCCAGCCGCTGACGTTCTGCCTCTGCTGCCTCCTGCTGAGCCTTGGCGGCAGCTACGGCATCTGTAAATACCTGTAGCCGCCCAAAATAGTCAGCCAACGGCTCACTGGCCCTTCGGACCGGGCATGCGGGAAGAACTCCGGTGGTGTCCGGTACCGTCAATGTTGTACTCGATGCCGCTGGAGTCGTCCGCCTGCTGAGTCTCTGTTGTTGAGCCTTGGTTCGTGGAGGTACCGTAGGTCGAGCACGAACTGCGAGCCTGACACTGCACCGTGGCAGTGCCCCGGTATCCTGTTCCATCGACATCAGTGTGTACTGATGCGGTACTTGAGAGGTCCCGGTGGTCACAAAATACGGGGAGGGTAGGGAGAGTGGGAACAGGGGTAAAACAATCAAACAATACGCATACAGTCCCCTGTCCCACAGATGGACTGTAGACACCTAATCAAACAGAGAAATAAATTTCCTGTAAACCATTCAAAAATTTGTAATAAGGACTTAATAACGATTTAATCAATAAAATTAATTAATGATAAATAACGAAATACTCCTAATGATGATCAATAAAACAATGTTTGTAATAAAGATAAACAATAATCATTATTTGCAATAAAGATAATCAATAAACAATAATTGCAATCATGATACTAAACGAATTTGAAAGGTATTATGATTAGGTCTCTTTGAGATCACTTTGAGTCCGGTAGTTCACCGTTAATGAATGAACTACCCGGAAGTTGCAGTTTGAGGGTCAGATACGGCTTAGTGTGCTAAAAAAAAATTTCGAAAAATTTCAGAAGAAAAAACTCTCGAATTTTCAAAAACGTGAATTTTTGGGAATTTCCACCGTCAAAATCCGATTTTTAAAGGCCTAAA